CAATTTACCCTCCTAGCTGTCTTTCTACTAATGCAAGCATCTGAATGCAGACAAGGAAGAAGGTCACTACAGCATTATTATTTTGGAAAAAGTTTCCTGATTTCTGTTCTCAGCTAACTGGATTTCTCACTGCTTTAAATCCAAACCAGCAAGATGGTGGCTGAATGTCATCACTCGTATTCTGACTACTGGAAGGCTACGTGATACTCAGACTGAACATGATAGATTCAACATCTATCTTAATAATGTTCTTACAGTGCAGGTACCCATATTCATAAAAACTGAGACTAATCAGGCAAGGTACCAAATACTGAAGATATTTATCTGTGTAAACGCTTTGACAGGATCCTGCAGACTAGGGTGAGCGGCTGTACTGCTTGTCATGCATTGTGCCTGTTTACTGTGTGACTAGAGGGAGGCTTTCAAAGCTGTCAGGATAGCTTTGTTCACTAGCATTACTGTTCTAAAAATAAATATCTCCTCGTTACTGCTCACATGAAACACCAGTAGACTCTATTAATGCTGTGTCTCAGAATTGACTTGACAAGCTAGAATAAATGTATGCCCTCTCAGAGGTGAGAGATGAGAAACAAATAACTGACTGAAGGTTAAAAATCTAGCAGTCCAAGGCGTTGCACTGATTGGGCAAGCCTCAGTTCTCATTCTTCTGCCAAAACTCTGATACCACGTGTTGCCTATTTTTTCAGTTAGAAGATGATTATTTTATTTACTGAACTAGTAGTCTGCGTTTTCTGTCCTTTAGCAAGGACTGCAATTTGTAGGAAGCATATAACCTCACTGAAGAATATTGATTTGATACCTAACATTATGTTTTCTGGAATTCAAAAGGAGTTCAGAAAGAGTTGCCTTTTCTTATTTCAGGCACTGTAGTAATTTTCAAACTGAAAGATCTCTGGTTCCTCTCTAATGATGAGTAGAATGAGATCCAAGCAACAGTGGATGTATATAGGTTTAGAGGGGAAGGAGAATGAGCTGCTTTCTCTGGAAATGGTCTGCAAAGTGAATCAGCAGAAATGCTCCTCTTGCATTTTGACTGAGGGTCACTTGAAGTGGTGTGGAAGAACAACTCTAAAGGACTGGGGACAGGATAAATTGAATTGAAACTCAGCCATCAGAGTTTTAACAGGCATTGCTGTGTTAGACAAGCAGCCATCTGCCTCACTTGCTGTCCTGCCATACACACTCTTCAGCAATAGTCCCAAGAGAGCCACTCCCTTAATCATTAGTTGTCATCTATTTGGTTGTATTTAATTAAGGCTATTGATGGATCTCCAGGCACCTTCTGGGAAGTTGTATTAATTGGAAACCTACAGGGTGCCAGGTTCCTTCATTCTGCATAGAGACCAGAGACCTCTACTGACAGGCTGAAATTAATCAGAGATAAAATCCTTTTAGTGATACGACCAACTGAGCCAAAGCCTACATCAGGCTTTAACTGTACCTCTCTTTATGGTCCATTGTCTCAGAGCTGGCAGTGAGAGATATATGGCCCTGCAGAGGGATTAGGAAGGATAGAGAGGAGTGGAGCAACAGGATTTGTTCCAGAACTCTGACACCACTAGCATCTTAATTTGTGTGCTGTTAAATACATTTTTTACTGCAGAAAAGACCCATTTAATGTGCAAGTGTCTCAGCTAGAGATGGTTCTGGGATCTTGGAATGGATCAAAGCAGATGATAATACTTTGTGGCATCTCTGAGCAAATAAGCAGGCACAGGTAATTTGCAGTGGAAATGGGCTGAGTTTCCTATATCCTGGGAATTAGGGATGGCAGCTCAGAACTACTCAGGGTGACAGGAAAATGCAGGGCAGCTGATCTGATCGAGATAGCACAGGATAAGGGTTGTTGTGGGAGTTGGGATGGGGTGTGGCACATCCAGTTGTGAGTGCATGAATACATTGTGCTGGTAAGAGCATTAAGTACTAATACAGTCCAAACACAATAGCTCAGCAGGCAGGAGTTGAGTTAAGTCTGACCCACCTGGAATCTTAGCAAACTGGTTGCTTTCATTGCTAAAGTTAAAGTGGAAGTGCTTTAAATTTTAAGGCATCTCTAATTAAATTGGTTTAAGGAGGTCAGGGTGAGACAGATGAGAATAAAGTGTTGTTGGTGAGGGCATTATGAACTGGTATGGTGCATTCAGGATAAGTTTGTGTGAATATAGTGGAATTTACCTGAAAGCTGGATCCAGGCAGTCAAAAATACATGGATATCAACTCTATTCTTTTTTGACAATACAACAGATTTCTTAGCCTCATCCTTTAACTGATTTTTAGGTAGTTGTCTGGATGTTTTACATAACTACACCAGAAAGTGAAGAATACATGGTGTAATTTCTCATCTCTTAAAGAGGTATTTAAGAAAGCAGTCTCATTTTACAGGATGTATTTTATCACAGCATTGCTAGCATTGTTTTTAATTGTGACATAGCATTCACTGTAGCATCATATGTGGCCCTTATTCAGTTGTGATATGTATTCTTTTCAAGTCTAATATCAATAGTTTAAACTCTATGGTTCATTTTGGTTTTGACCAGCTGAAACTCAAGCTAGGATTCAGCTTTAAATGTGTCAATACAAGAAAAAAAGTTGTAAATACTAATTAGTGAAAGCTAAAGCTTTACATGGTTTTTATAGTTGTACATTCAAGATTACCAGTAAAACATCTCTGGGGCTCACTGTTGAGGGAATTTAGTTTCTGAGTGTCCCTATAAAGTCAGCACTTCTGTCCCATCCATTAGTGACTTGGTGCTATGAGCTGTACAAAATACAGCCTGTAGAGAGACATTTGGCTATTCAATAACACGGCCTTTTTGTAGTTCTGCATTCTTCCTTAAAATTAATGTGTAATATTAAAAAATACTGTTTAATAATAAAACTGTGTCCTGCTACAGACATCTCTGCATGGTGTGTGCAGACACCATCATGTACCTTATTCTGTCTGCTTGGGAAACTCTTATGCTGAGGCTCCAATACAGGACTGATGCCAAAAAATTAGTTCTAGTGCAGACAGCAGTAACTTACAGGAAGCTATTACAATTCTCCTTGTGTAGTTTGCCTTTCTCTTTCTTAGCCTCCCCTCCTCCCCCACCTCATTTTTCTTGGAATTACTTAAATGAGAGATGAGCTTTTGAAGGTGAAAGGACTTGAAGGTGCTGCCACCATTAACTAATGTAATTTGGAAAAAGAGAGGCTGATTTACAGGGAGTGCAGTTCAGCTTTTACATCATAGTACTTTTGTCTTGTTACTGTTTCTTGCCCATCTAGTTAGACATTGCAGGAGGCAAATGCAGCAGGGGAAGGTGGGTAGCTAGCAGTAAGGTAGGAAAGGTAGCTAGAAGAGGCAAAACCAAGAATAGCTGAACCTCACATGAATGGGAATACTGAAATGTATTTCATGTCCCTGTCTGGGATTTTCAAAGTCTCTGTTGTTCAGAGTTGTACAGTGCAAGCCCTCTGGCCTAATTTGAAGGTGCCAGCCGAAAACAGGCTTTCTTCTCTACTGATAGTGAAGCTCAAAGCTTGTTTACTGTCTTTTCAGAAAAAAATGGGAATAGAGCAACATCCTGCTTACCAAAATATTTCTGAATTTCCAGAAAGTTTGAATTTGGACCTTAAGAGATGAAAATGCACTACCAAAAGAGAGCTGAAAATAATATCTTTTGTTTACTTAAACATGTCTTCTCATACTCTTTTTAATTTGGACTCTAAGTATATACTATTTTAAAAGTAACACAAAAATAATTATAGAATTGGATATACCAGGATTTATTGTCAGCAGATGCAGTAAATTCTAGTAACCATATTGAGAATAGTGTGGTAAACATCTGGTGATGTTTAGCTCAAGTTAACAGAATTTCTGAAGTCTCTAACTTCTTGACTAGGCAAAGGGGTGTGCTTTGGGTTTTATGTCTAAGAGGTTGAATTTTTTTTAATCCAAATCAGCCTCCTGTGGAAAAAAAAAAAATTGCAAAGAAAAGAATTTTTGATTTAGTCTTCTGAATATGGTCAGGGGACTCCAGCTGTTCTGATACAGTGGTAAAATGGCATATTCAGGAACTGCTCCATGACAAGGATCTGAGTGCTTTGTGTCCCCAGTGTTCAGTGTCTGACTCCTCAGTTTTGTGCATCTACCTTGTCCCTCCTGCTGTGCAGAGACCTGTATCCCAGCCCTTGGAATGCTCCTGTGCCTTCTGTACTGCCTGCCTTTTTCGGCTGGGGACGTAAGCACTCCTGATCCTGCCAGATCAGCTGAGGACTTCCAGGACCTAGGGAAGAAACTTCTGGGAACAAGAGTTTTTTTCCACCACTCAGTATAAGGCTGTGGGAACGATGCTGCCATTTTGGAAGCAGCAGTTTCAGTATCTTCTTGGAAGGAACAGTAGGAACAATGCAGGGGAGATCCAGCTGTAATGGAAGAAAATGAAGGGCTGAGAGCTAAGTGATGAGAGTTTGAAGCACCAAGAGTTTCCATACAGTTGCAGAAGAACCTGAGAAGAGACAAGTGAGAGGGACCTCATCCATGTCTATAGTATCTGAGGGGAGAGCGTCCAAGGGATGGAGGGATCCAGGCTCTTCTCTGTGGTGCTGCGCAACAGGACAAGAGGCAATGGGCAGAAACTGGAAGTTCCATCTGAACATGAATAACAGCTTTACTGTGCAGGTGACCGAGCACTGGAACAGCGCAGAGAGGCTGTGGAGCCTCCCTCGTTGGAGATACTCCGTAAGTGTCTGGATGCAATCCTGCAATGTGCTCTGGGACCCTGCTTGAGCACAGATGACCCACTGTGATCCTTTCCAGCCTCGCCCATTCGGCGATTCCTTTAATTCTATCTGAATTACTTGAGACAATCATGAAGAGCGTTTGCTCCTTCCTTTGCTGTTTCAGCCGCAGAAGGAGCTGTCGGTAGCGGACTGTCGGGCAGCGCCGCACGGGTTCCGCCCAGGCGGAAGCTGAGGGCGTTACTCACTTCCCCTGGCCTTCCTGGGCCGGGCGGGGCAGGCGGCTGCGCCCTCAGGCGCCCGCGCGCGGACATGGCGGCGCCCGCCTACCCCGCCTGGGTGACGCGCTGGGTGTCGGGGCAGTGGCGGAGCAAGAAGCGGCCCCCGACGCTCCGCCCGCCCCGGACACTGGCGCTGGCCGACAAGGTGGCGAACCGCCGGGAGCAGTCGACAGGTGAGCTGCCGGCGGCGGGGAGCGGTGGCGAGGGGCAGGCCGGGCCCGGGGGGGGCCGCGCTGCTGGCAGAGCTCGGCGGCGCCTTGTGCTCCGCAGGGCGAGAGGGGAGCGCCGGGCTTGGCCATGGAATTCGCGCGTGGTTTCTGTGGGAAGGATCGCTTCCTCACTTTGCAACCCTAAGTTTGTGTCGTATGTGAGTCAGACACGCTGCATCGTAGCATTGCCTTTACCTTAAAAATTCTGTCAGATGCTGGGTGGCTGTGGCGATTTGCTTTCTGTTAGCAACAAATTCTCTGTCCAAAGCAAAGCTGGGATTTTCTTATGCATTTGCTCAATTTCTTTGGAGATTTATGCACTGTGGAGGTTGTTAGCATGAGATCCCAAACACCTGAGATTTCTGCTTATGTCTTTCCCTTCTAGAGGCAACGTGCATTACGGAGATGTCAGTAATGATGGCCTGCTGGAAACAGAATGACTTCAACGACACGCCTTGTGCCGAGGAGATCAGGATGTTCTATGACTGCGTGGCAAAGGCAGAAGTAATTAAGGCCTCTTTTATGTTCTTAAAGGCTAGTAGTAGGGAAGGAGGAAGCCTCCAGTCATTTTTTGTGTGCGAGTAAGAATAATGTTCTCTGAAGAATTTGATTGTGACCCATTTGAGCAACTAAGAGCAATGAAACTGGTGAAGGATCTAGAGGTTCCTACATGGAGGGGCTGACATAGCTGGAGGTTGTTTAGTCTGGAAAAGAGGCAATAAGGGAGACCTTATTGCTCTTTACAATTACCAGGTGGGGGTCAGCCTCTTCTCCCAGGCAACTGGTGATGTGACAAAAGGACATAGACTTGAGCTGTGCCAGGAGAGGTTCAGGCTGGACATCAGGAAGAATTTTTTCACTGAAAGGGCGCTGAAGCATTGGAACAGGCTGGCCTGGGAGGTGGTGGTCACCCTTCCTGGAGGCATTCAGTAAATGACTGGATGTGTCACTGCCATGGTCTAGTTGGCAAGGTGGTCATTGGTCAAAGGTTGGACTCAAGATCTTGGAGGTCTTTTCCAACCTGCTTCTGACTTTGAAGGCCAGACATTTTTGAAAAATAAATTTCATATTGCTTGAAAATTAGAGGTTTCTGATATTATATATTAACATAATAATACTATATTATAAGCTTGAAATAAAATAATTTTCAAAATAGACTAAAGGTAAGTATATGTACTAAAGTTGTCCTTAAACTGGTTTCAGGTTTCCATTTTCTTTCAGTAGCAGGGTCATCCTTAAAAAAGTTATTTACTGTTGCTCTTTGACAGCATAAGTAAAAAATTATCCACAGTTTATTTGGTAGATGACAAAGAATCAAACAAAGATGAAAAATAACAGAAAGTAAAAAGAAAAAATCTGGGTTGTTACCAGAAGTTTATGTCATTGTTAACTAAGAATGTGGAAGGATATAATCTTCACAAGATGTCAGTCATTAATTGCATCATTTAAAGGTCATCAGCTTGTGATTATTGAGCCAAGTGCTATGGTAAGTGTTCCTTAAAGAAACAGCATTTTTCTAAGAGAAACATCCCTGTACAATTAATAATAGTCCCTGGGAACGAGCATCAACTCTGCAAATAAACAGCGGTAAATATTTTGAGGAGTTTTTTTCTCTTTCAGAAAGAGCGCAAGAATCAAAATGAGGACATCCTGTCACCCAAGGGAAATTTGCCTTCAAGCAAAGTGAACAAGCTCCTGAAGAGGTTTCCTCAGATCACACGTTACGTATAATGTACTTTATGAAAGAGACTGTGGACAAGCAATTAAAGTTGGGGTCTTGGTCAAAAAAAGGAAAGTCAAGTTAAGTGATCTTTTGATGTCAAGTGGTGTGTGGATCTTGACCCTGCTTTTGATTCCAGGGCAAAAACCACCCATCTTGAGTATCAGCTGATTTTGTTCATGAGACTCTTGGGTCTTGCAGTGTTAGGATTTCTGCAGTGTGTTGTTCAGCTTGCCTACCCAAGTCCTGTTAAATAAAACCTTCTAGGCATTCATGTAAATGCATTTCCTAACAGGGCATGACTTCTCCACGTGCAAGCATCTTGCCCAGCTCTGGAGCTACTATCAAAAGGTGTTTGGGCTCAAACACTGAGCCAAGTTAAAATTAGTAATTACCGTAATGATGGTATGATGGTTCATACTCTTACATGAGTGTATTCACAATCTGGTGCCTCTTGAAATTTTTAAAATTTCCACTGCTGTAAAAAAAATGCTGTAAAATTTAGAAAAAATCTCCAGCAAAATACCTTGTTCATACATAATTCATTAGTAAGTATCAAATATAACTTTAACATGGAAGCTTGTGATTTAGCTTGTGATTTGCAGGTGGGACTTATGGTGCCACATAAGTTTGATTATTTTGTCTGTACTGTAATAAAGCAAGACTGGTGTTTGACTTGGGCAACTCATAATCTGCAACAAAATGTTTCTTTTCTTTTTTTTTTTTTTTTGTAAAAAAAACCCCAAAAACTAAAAGGGGGAGAGAAAGTTAAAGCATGGATTGATAATTGAAATAATTTAATTCATTTATAGTTTTGATTGTGGGGAGAGAGGGGTGGTTTCCACTGCAGTACCACAAAACTACAGGCAGGATCTTGGGAACAGTACCTGATTGGTGGGAAAAATGCAGTGTCTTGGAGAACTGATGTTAGAGCCATTTATATCAGTAATTCTTTTGGGTGTGTAGAAGAAGCAGAATAAGAGGAGAGTCAGGCACTCACATACTGTGTGATTACCCATGGGTGGCTGTAGAGTTTGCTGGAGCTGAGTCCTCTGGAGCCCCAGGCTGATACCTGTTCATCACAAAAATTTTAGTCAGGTGAAGGCTTTCAAGTTACTGAAGCAACATTCTCTTAGCAGTTAATTACAGTGGCTCATTAGTGGATAATCCAGGGTAGCTTATTCTTTTGTTGGTATTATGACATAATTGGGTCTTTTAGAGGACTTGGGGTCATCAAGAACACAATATCCACATCTGAGCTCACGAAAACACTTTGTTTCTGTGGAGTTTTGCGTTTTCTGTCCAGAAGACTGTGAAAAATAATGCTACTTGCTGTTCCTTCATTTCTGGAGGATATAAAATAGATTGGGAGTGAGGAACTGATTCACCTCTGTTGATGATGATTTTCTTCATATTAAAACTTGGAATAAAAGTGTTATGCATCTCTTAAGATAGCACCTATGCTGAATATACCAAATTCTAGTGTCTGTGAGGAGCAGTCTTACATAAGAGGCTGTAACAGGGACACTTAATACCTTTTTCTATTTTTACTTTTGAAGTTTTGCATAGCTCCCACTAATCTGAACAGCTCTTTTTGCATTACACTGCTTCACGGTGAGCTTCACAAATTCAGTTGTTTGGGGTTTTGTCTAACCTTTTATGTGTCTACTATAAGCTTGAAATTACTATGCTAAGGTTTTCCAATCCTTTTATTTATTGAGAGGAAGGAAGCAATGCTTTTCAGGTGCATCCAGGTTTTACAGTGCTTCCTTTAAAAGTACTTGAGCAATTCTTTTGCTTTTGTTGTAACCAAAAACCCTCCAGTTACTGACTGTCCTTGGCAATTTCAGCTGCTGGCCATTTTACTGCATCTCACCATTAAGCTTGATTAGTGTTTAAATGCATTCTGTGACATGCTGGTATTGAGGATCACTCCATTAATAGTTCATGTGTGTACCCACAGGGAACAACACTGTTCTTTCTGACTTGGGGTTTGTACCACCCCATGATGCTTTTGCTGGGGGGTGAGGAAAACTGTTCTGGTGTGGAACACACTGGTTAAGAACATTGCTGCAGAGACCTGTATGTGATTGCATGGTGAGGAAAGAATTAAACAAAAGCTGACTAGCTGTTCTACCCTCCTAAGTCGGATTTACAGGATTTAAGCAGATCTGCTGGAATTCCTTGATCTTATTCCTGTACCTTATAGCTTGACTATTATACCAGCTCTGGCTATGATTGCTGTTAACTACTCCTTTTAGGCTTTCATTGTGGAGGTAGCATTAATATTTCAGCTGGTCCTGATGAATAGTTGTCCTGCCAGTTCAGGAGAAATAGGTTGAATTCCAGAGAGCCAGGGACATTTTAAAAGATGGCATTTCTTGTTCAGAAGGGTCAATACAGAAAAATCTGGCAAAATCAAGACAGACTCTGTAGGGAATCATAGACTTCCTGTAATAGAAATATGCATATATGGGGTGAGAAGGACTACTGTTAAATAGTAGATTTAGATATTTACAACTACTTCAAATTTGCCTATACAAGAAAGTTCAGATGTTTTACCTTACCTGTAGATACATTGCTGATCTAAACTGCTGTAGTTGTATTGGTATAATTCCCTTTTAGATTTTCCTCTCCACCTTGGAGAGTAGTCATGAGAAGCTTTTGAGAATGAGATCCACCTCTCTCAAGGAATGTCATTACGTGTGTGAGAAAAACTAGGGGAGTCTTGGTAAGAAGGAAATAGTTCCAAAACAGTACCTGCCAGAGAGGAGACAACTGCAAAACCCACTATATCTTCCCAGTTCATTATTCTTCCAGAAAGTGAATACAGGCTTGGACTTCTGTTGCTTTTGGTGTACTGGTCTGTGTTTCTTTTAAAATTACTTTATCTATTAAATCACTTTTTTTAGGAAGACTTTGCCGTGACAGGGAAGCAACTTAGAAGGTACCATGAGAGAAATCCAGTGCAGGCTTCTGCTAGAGGTGTTAAACCCTGTGTGTCAGAGGCCTGAACGGGGAGAGTCTCATGGGATGGAGTTCTGAATGAGCATCAGCAACCTCTAGTAAGGAGCTAGTTTCTCTGAATGCTAATAGAATTTCTGTTCCTATTTCCAGTATGTCCTTTCCTTGTGTGTTCAGTGGAGGAAGTGGTTCTAACACAGTCCCATATTTTTATTTTGTTCTGCTCCTTTGTGCTACTGCTGCCTGAGAGTTATAGTGTGATGCAGCATCTAAGCTATTTCCATCCCCTGCTGCCCTGATCGTCTGCCTCCCTGACTATGAGGATATAGGAGATTTGCTCCTAATTAACTGAGTGTAATTCTTGGCCAAATCCACTCCAGAAACATCTTCTTTTTACCACTTAGCAACTCCTAAAGATCCAGCATGGAGGGAAATTTCCTTGCCTTTGATGAGTGACTGAGGATGAAGCAACACAAAACTGTCACATGAAGTGAGTAATGGGCAAAAATGAAGGAAGAAAAAAAAGAGGCTTTTTGTCAAGTCAGTAGATTTTTAGCAGCCTGTTCCTTGTTTTTATGCTGAAGGTGTCTTTGGAAGTGCTACTCAGCAGACTTGGCCAGAAGTGAGCTCATTTCTAAAGGTGACCTTCATGTTTCATGCTGTATAACACCACGAGTTCATTGCTCCAAAATCAGAATATAAGAAATGCCCATTAGACTGAGCAGAGAAGCAGCACAAGGAATGTGTAAAAAAGTATTTCCAAGACTGAACAGCTTCAAATGAACAAATTGCCTTCTTAGATTTAGTAGTATTTACAGCTTGTAGCCTTGAAACCTAATTCCTATGGAGGACCAGCAAGTTGAAAACACTAAAACCCCCCATGGGATGGGATTGTTCATGGTAATACAATAATGATTAACCCTCTGGAAAGCATCCTAGCCAATTGAGGAAAAATATAGCCCAAGGTCAAGGAGACGCTCGATGGCAAAGTTCTGTGGTGGCAATACCCATGATGGCAAGATACAGGGCTGAAAATTGGGAGCACCCTGGAGAGGGCTGTGCCACCTGTGGATTTTCCGGGGGAGATCTGGAAGCTGCTTAATGTAGAGTTTTCTGGGTCCCATGTACGTGGGTTCAAATCTGAAGAGAGCTGACCTCGGGAAGCTGCAAGCTGCTAATCGAGGAGGCAGCGGTGGGGGGGATAAAGTCCAGATTCCTTCCAAGAAGTCTAATCTCTGGCAAATGTACGCGCACACGCCGTTGCCTTTCCCAGTTGTTGCTGGGGGCTTTGCAATAGGACGCAGCCCCAGCTCCTTACCGTGCTGCAGCCTCTGTGCCTTGGGAAGAGGGGGAAAGGCAGCTGGGGAAGGAGCATTGCAGGAGAGGAGACGAGCGGGCGGCTGGCCCCGCCGCTGGGCAGAAGGGGCGGGGAGGCGGAGACTGGCGCTGGGAGCAGCGCGTACCTGGAGCACGGGAGGCTGCGGAGAGGAGGGGACAGCGAGGTGAACAGAGGGCTAAGACACAGCCCTTACCGCTTGTGCTCGCCTCTGCTCGTCTTCCAATGTGCTAGAGAAATTCGGGGACATGTTCTGTTCCCTTATTTCTCTCCTCTCTTCTTCCCCTTTCTGAAGAGAAGAATTCATGAGAAAAGATGGGGAGAGGAACGGGAAAGTGAAATTCTAAGATGCTGCGGGGAACTTTGATCCCTTTCCTCACGTCCCTTTCCCTGCGTAGAAATGGAAAAGGCACCCCGCTCCCTCGGGTGCGGAGCGGCTAGCGTGGGAAAGCAGACACTGGCAGCTGAACGAGAATGTGATGCTTGAAGAACCTTCTGCTCACTTTGTACGAGGGATGGAAATCTCCAAAATACTCGGGCTCCTGGTAGAGCTCTCAAGTCTGCTATCCTGTCTCAGATGTGTGGAGGTAAGAAAAGGTTGTTTTTCTATCTGCTTGTAAGTCACATGGCTCTTTTAATATCCTCACTGTAAGTGGATCTTGTTATTACTTGACTATGTTTTCTAGAGCATTTAGGCAGCTGTGGTCTCTGGGAAGGACTGGGGGCTTGGGGAGAGATTTGTTTAATTATGCATATAACTTCAGAAAAAGAAATAAACCAAGAAAGCAGAATACACAAGGGCTTGCAGATGCTTTGGCTTGGGTTTCTCAGGCACTGCGGTGACCTTGGCAGGAAAGATCCTTTATTTCTGTTCTTTGCTGATTGTCTCTCTTGCTTGTGGACAGATGATTTATAGCTGCACAGGCCTGGGACAATGCCTGCAGCATAGGCTGTTTGCACTGAATTTAATTGGTGGCGATAGTCAGCGTTGGGGTATTTTGGAAGTTGCTACAGAAACTGACAGAAATTAATTTTTCATTAGAAGGGAAGTTTATTACTTGGACTGAAGTACTTTTGTTTATGGTCCCCAGGTTCAGTCTCTCATATATATCCTGTTATTAGTCTGACCCATCCTTGTATCGCTGGCAGGCTTACATGTGTCTGCAGGTGTGCACTAAAAGCTAGGGACTGAGGGACCTGGATTGTGGTGCAGTCACAAAAGTACAGCTTAGCTCACTTTCTACTCTCTGCAAATAGCTTTGAGATCCTCAGCTAAGTCCTTCAGTGTTGTTGGTCCAGAAACCCTTATGTGGGCTTGCAACAGCCTGATACATGCAGATAGATGAATTTTTTGCCTGGAAAGGGTTTATCTGTGTATCTCTTCGTGCATATGAACCTGAGATCTGATCTGCTACTACTGAACTGTGTCAGGAATTTATCTCCATATGCAGTATCCATTCTGACTTCTGGGAGGTGATGCTGGAGCTTGGCCATGGTTGTCAGCACCTTCTGGATCATATTCATAAGCTTGATTTGAAAATTATATCTGACATGAATAGGTGTTGTTCTTGTCAGGCTTCTGTGGGAATTACCTCTGCTAATTCCAGAAGTGGATTTGGTTTAATTCCAAATTTAACTGTTCCTATTTTCCAGGAAGAGGTGAAACTGAGAGAGGCAAAATTACTGCATTTTGAAGAAAACCACAACCATTACCAACAGCTAGTATCCTTTAGCTGCACATCTCTGCTCTGTGAATTACAACTCTTTCGTCATATAAAAGTATTAGAAATGTTCATTTAGAATGTTTAGAAACGAATTAAACTACAAGGAGCTAGCAGAAGCATGTACAGTTTATTCTTTTCACTCTGAGTCTGTGAAGGTCTTGCACTTGCTTGCCCATCATGTAGTGATGTTGAGTGGAGATCTGTCTGTCAGCCTATAGTCACATTACAACCACAAAAAAACCCTGCCTATAAGAGGAAATGAAGTTTTGGGGCCAGACAGGATGCTAGAATTCTGAGGACTTTGTTTCATATTTTTTGGTCTTGGCTATTTAACCTCATTTCGATAACAACATCATAGGCCATATCATATTTTCAAGTATTAAAACCAGAATCCTCAAAAGGCCTTGGATTTTCTTCGTTGGATGTTTCCCACTTTATACATGGATGTTTATTACCATTTTAACAGGTATTCTGAGAGCATCATCCTGTCACTCAAGTAGATAAATATCTGCTACTATAGCTGTAGATGACTTGCCCTATAAACAGTGAGAGAATGAGTACATATTATTTTTCTTACTGATAATAATGATTTTCTTCTAGATTTCCTTTCCATAGGCATATCACTCAGACTTCCAACTCTGTTGGAAAAAAAAACCCAAAACCAAGCAGAGCTCAGTAATGCAGTGCTTAGATCAAGGGTAAATCTCTGCAGGCCAGTAGCTATTAATTTTGTTTTAAGTGGACAGAGCTATGGTTGTATTTGAAGAGGAGCAATGGGGAGACCAAGGAAGAGGATGGTTACTAGGGTGTGTTTGCCTGAAGCTGAGCTGCTTTTAGGACATGCCCATGTTTATTTCATTGGATAATCATCTCTCTGCTTTTGCTCTGTTTCTTTTTCCAGGCTTTCCTGGGATCCAAGCCCAACCAAAACCATTTGCAGAGTGCAGGTAAGAACAAGAAGTTATTAATTCAGTCACTGGGCAGGCTCTTTCCTCCAGTGGTGATGTGAGACCATAGGCACAATAAACCACTGCTACCTGGCCTTCTTCCTTTCTTTTCATCACTTCTTCAATCTTTTCTCTTGTCCCAATGCCTGTTTATCTCCTTCACCAACATGGCCAGACTACCTCTGTTCCTTCATGTTGAATGCTCTTGCAGCTCCCTGCTCCTCCCACATGTTCTTTTCCTTTAATCTCTTTCTTTGCCTTGGTCTTTTTTACATGCTTACCTTTTCTCTGCTCTAATAACTACTGAATTCTCAGACACCCTCTCTGAGGGTCCCAATTGATGCCACACATATGATTTGTTTTCCAGGCATTGACTTCCAACTGCTTCTCATTTTTGTACCTTGCATTTGACCTTCAGCTGTCACTTACCCCCTCTGGGCCTGACGGTGGCTAGAAGGCAAATGACATGATGCAAAGTTACTTTGTACCCCTGCTCTTTGCCCCAGGTGCAGAAGGGTTTTCTGAAAGTGTTGGCTTCTTTCTGTTTACTTAGTGAATAGAGCTGTAAATGTCCCTTTCTCAGTCTACTCTTCCCATGTTATGGACTCTATAAAGCCCACAAAACTGGGTGTTTTTTCCCCACTTCATTATTTCAGTGCCATGAATGGATAGTTTTCTCCTTTGTTAAGGACCATAATAAATTAATTATTGGGTATTTCTACACTGGATATTTCACATGGGCACTGAGACATTGGCACCTGCACTTCCCACAAAATAAATTCCCTTTCTCTTCCAGTGTATTACCCAAGCTCAGATAAACCAGGTGATCTGCTCATGTGTATAGAGAACGTACATGCAATGAAATACAGTGTCATTTCCCACCTTCCTGCTTTGTACAGTTCTGCTCCAAAGTGAGTACATGTATTGCATGTACATTAATGGGAATCAGTTCAAATTATCATGTTTGGGCCCTAAGTTAACACTCTTCAAAGGTCTGTCTGGGCAGTCCATTGCTTCAGATCAATTTGTGGTTTAGACAGTGAGTATTATGAATATTCTTTGAGCAGCACCTTGAAGAGCGATAAGAGTTTGCATCAAGCAAGCAGCAGCTGAGACTGCAGACACCAGGGGTATTTCTCATAACCAGCTGGTGTGTCCCATGTTGTCTGAGCTTTGGTGTGTGATGCCTTAGGTGATGCTAACTCTCCCTTCCTGTGCCCAGCGCCCAGCGTGTGTGCTGTGGGCCCTCTCGGGTACTACAACGGCTCACTGGCGGTCACCGAGGCCGGGGCACAGTGTCTCAACTGGGCAGAGTTCCCTGATTACGTTCAGCAGTACCCAGACCGTGGCCTGGGGGACCACAACTTCTGCAGGAACCCAGACGGGGGAACGACACCCTGGTGCTTCTACAGGCTTGTGTCAGGGGCCATCGGCTGGGCCAACTGTGACTGTAACCAAGGTAAGGGCTGTGCTGCCTCAGGGCTCAAGCCAGCAATGTGTGCTGCACAGACTTGTAAGTGGCAGGTGGAACACCCTGTGAAAAAAGCACCGTACAAAGACTGTTCTGAATTGTTGAAATAATTAATAGTAGAGGTTAGCCTGTGTGGGAGAAGAACGTCTGTATATAGTAGGGGGTGGATTTAAGCTGCTGTAGCTGTAATGCCTTGTATAGATGTTTTATTCTCATACAAGGAGACTTCTTTTTTTCTACTACTAACTTATGCCGCTTTGGAAACAGTTTCAGTTATGTAGAAAACAACCCACTTCTGCTCCTTTAGGGTCCACATCAGAGCATTCCTCTGATATAAGCGTAGCAGTTCAAATATAAACTTCTTTAATATAAAATCTTCTGTGGCAAGGCAGGTCATAGGCTTGTGTTAAATTTCCTCAGTGATGGCAGAAGGACTACTGCTTACTTTGAGGCAAGCAAGGAGCTGAGCTCTCTCAATGGATTGGCTACTGTGCAGCATTCTTGAAAATGTCGTTTTCTGACCTTCCTTGCTTTTCCTGCATTTTGCAGAACAGTTGAAACACCAGTTTAATAAATGAATTGACAGTCTTTTCCCTTGCTAGTTGATGTGCTTTCAAAGATGGCTTCATTAAAGGGAAGAATATAAGTGTAGTGGGGCTGTGTGCCTACAGTGAGGTGCTGCAGACAGGTGTGTCCTTCTGCAAGTACGTAACTGAGTGAGGAGATGTGCTTTCTAAACAGTGGTAAAATTTTTAGTGGGGTGGGAATTGAAAGGGTATTTACACTGGCACTTCCTTTTCTTAGAGAATTTAAAGAGGATTCATCTGTTGTTACTGAACATCTCACTCTAGCAACAGAGTCATGCAGGTGAAGTGCATGATGGAAATAGTTGATGAAGTGGTTGATGGAAATAGATCAGTGGAGTTTCAGAAGTAATTAGATAGATTTTCACACACCCTTTGAAGACAGCATGTAAAATCAGCCCCATTCCACAGAAGGAGAATCCAAGAGCTTTTGCAGACGCCAAATTTCCTGCTGGTGTTACCATGGATTTGAAAAGACCATAAAACAACCATCTTCCCAATCAGCCATTGCTGGAAGTGGGAAGGTGCCATATCCCACTCTTTCATGCACATCGCTTTAGTGCCAGCACAGGTAAAACAGGGATGAAGGAAGCCAAGTGCAGTTCAGCTCAGCTACATGCAAAGTCCAAGACTTGCTGGTCTGAAACTTCTATCAGCAGATAGCAACTGGTTTTGGTTGGTTTTTTTTCTCTTTTGGAAGGTGCTGTGCGGTTGGCTGAAGACAGTAGTGTGGAGCTGTACTTCAATGGACTCTGGGGAACCATCTGTGCTGACCACTGGACTGACTGGGATGCCAGTGTTGTCTGCAGGCAACTAGGTCTCAGGTGGGAACCTCAGTCTGGTTGTGAGAGGTACATACTCGTGTGGCTTTTGAAAGAGCAGCCTCTGTGGTTACAGTCCCTCTGGCACAGTGTGTTGGCTGGCAGAAAGGAGTTTGTTTTGTGGTCTAATTTCCCACTTACCAGGGTCCTTTTGTACTGTTCTCTTTCTGTGGCTACCCCCAACCCAATCAGCATTTGCAAGAATTTTTTCAAACAATAGTTTCTGCTTCATGCTCCAGGCTGTGAAAAGTGAGCTGTGAGATCAATTCCCTTTTTTATGATCATCAACTAGAGTTACTATTGTGCTCTACCAGAAATTTTGGGAGTATGAGCTCTCTTTTGGTATCTGGGATTTGGACATTCAAACTTCCAAATAGCAAAGAGATAAGGTCCACAGAGAGGGAAGGTGATTCAGATAGTTTGGTGTTTGAGTCTATTGATGGGTTTGTTCATTGCTTTCAAACAAGAGTGCTATTTCTGACTACACCAATTCCTCTGCTGTAGGTGGGCATATAAAAGGACTAGGATGTGCTGTGTGCTTGCTTGTGCTTTCCCATTAGACTGTAAATGGTCACCCCTTTATGCACTTCCAATTAACTGGGCACACTGGGAGGTGAAATGCCACAGCTGGACTGGAGAGTCAAAACACCGGAGGGAACTTGTAAATCAAGCCATGCTGTGGCATTTCATTGCTCTCTTGCATCCTCTGTACCAGTGAGATCGGCACAGCTGGGAAGAAGAGTCATCCTGGACCATGGCCTGTTCCCCTGCACCTGCAGTCAGCAAACTGCCATGGAGACGAGGAAGCCCTGCTGCAGTGTGGCTATCAGGAAGCTCTGTCAGGAGCTTGTAACCAGGGGAGTGCCGTGGTAACTTGCGTTCCTCCAGAAGGTAAATCTCCAGGGAAAGATCTCAATCTCCCAAAGATGGCTGATGCTTATGACCACATGCCCTTTTTATCAAGCCAGGTTTTTGTCTGCAGGCAGAAAACTCCTGGTCACTACAGCAGCCAATTAAGGAGACATCTCTGGACCAGCAGTACCCCACTCTGGGGGCTGCAATCACGGGTACTTGTGGGGGGGTCTAGAAGGGAGGATGTGATAAGACAGCATCATGAGAGCTCCTCTAGCTAGAGAGTGGTTCTACACCCTAAACTGCTGGATGTGCTTTGTCTCTGTCTTGTTCTGTTGTGCTCTCTTTTCCTTTCTTGAAGCACAGGTGTAGGTGCCCCACTTCGTATAGTTGGGGGGAAGGAGAGCTTTGAAGGGCGAGTGGAGGTTTACCATGATGGCAAGTGGGGAACCATCTGTGATGATCAGTGGGACGACCGGGATGCTGAAGTAGTCTGTAGACAGCTGGGACTCAGGTAATTTCCTTGCTGTCTGTCATGGAGTAGTAATAGAAGTAGGCAGAATGAAGAACATGAAAGCATGTCCCTTCATTGTCCCTTTACTGCCCTTCACAGCCCTTCCTATAGGAGATACACAGAAACCCTGGGAAACATAATTCTGGACTGATCATCCTACGAAGGGATTTTGTACCCCATTCTTTTCAATTTTATGGGTTTGTGCTGTGTTAAAAAAAAAAAAAAAAAAAAAAAAAAAGGTACATTCCTGTCTCAGGATTGTTTGTGTTTACCCCTGTTCATAATTTTTGCATATGTCCTAATACAAATCTTGTTGGCCTCAATGACAACTTGTAATGGTGATTTCCATATGTGAACTGCAGCTGCTTACTTGGTTAAGTTTAAACACATCTAGTTTCACTGGCTGTCCTTATCCTCTTCAGACAGGAAAGCAAGAGAGACCACCTCATTCTTCTGTGTTTAACATTCAATGTTTAACATGGGAGCTGTTGTATACTGAGCATTCTTGAAAATCACATCAGTACAGGATTATTTAAAATAGACTGTTCAAATTTGAGATCCCTCAGTTTTAGGAGTTTTGCCTGTTATGAGATTGTAACTGAGACTGATGTTACATCGTTGTCTGCAGAAGTCTGAACTGTTCATGTTGTAGTGTTGTAGTAACATTTTCGTTATTTGCTGGAAGGGCTCATTACAAACTTTCCAGTAACATATTTCAATTAACAGTTGGCAACTCCACTGTGTCAAAAATACAGATGATCTATGGGAAGATAATGACCCAGCATAGGAGAGTCCCTGTGCAAGGCAGAATCTGAGCACACAAGACTGTGGCCTTCCTTACTGAGCATACATGTCTGTAATGTTTACAGTGGGACCCCAAAAGCCTTGTCATGGGCTCACTATGGGCAGGGATCTGGCCCAATCCTGCTGGATGAAGTGCAGTGCTCAGGGAATGAACTCTCCCTTGATCAGTGCAAGAAGAGTGACTGGGGACAGCAAAACTGTGACCACATTGAAGATGCTGGGGTCTCCTGTGACCCTTTCACAGGTACAGATGTACAGCTCTGTCAGATGCGGTCGGTCTCACCCCCACATTACTCAGCTTGCTCAGCAGGTAAGCCCTGGTTCAGGATCCTGCACAGCTTCCATATATGGCTCCCACAAGGGCTGCCGGATGTGGAGACAGAGAGTAAGGGAATGGATCAGAGGCAGACTTGGTGGTGTTCCCATGGTTTTGCTCAGGTAGTGTGGAAAGGCTGAAATGAATCCTCCCCTGACAGATGGGTATGTTTGGAAGCAATGAATGTTTGTATTTTGAGTACCCACAGACATCTGTCTCTTTTGTTTCTTTCACTCGTGGGTGGTACAGAGACCTAGCCATGGTGCACAGGCTGTTTCTTTTCTCTCCTGCTGAGTGCTGCCCTTTCCTTCTCCCACCCCCTGCAGAGGGCACGGTCCGGCTGGCTGGCGGCCGCAGCCCCAGCGAAGGCAGGGTGGAAGTTTACTACAATGGAGACTGGGGCACAGTGTGCGATGATGGCTGGACAGACCTCGGTGCCCAAGTGGTCTGCAGGCAGCTGGGCTTCAGGTAGGACTGAGAGTGTGTAGTGTCTGTGCTTCCTAATTTCAAGGATTAGATTCCATCATGCTTCACTGGGATAGGCTAGATCTTAATCCTTCAACGCTGTCTTTGTTTGTTATAAGGCTTATTACCATTACAGAACTTATTAAGGAAAGATTAATAGGTATCCACATCCTTTCCAAGGGGCAAAAATAAATCTATAATTTCTTGCCTCAGCCTGTTTTGAAAGCAGATAACAGGCTTAATACTGTCCTTATGAACCCCTCAGCAAAGTCTGAGTATCTTATTTAATGCTCCTTAAATTTGCAGGTGTCTTTTCTGCTCTGTCAGTAGAAGGATATCACCTATCTGCTCCAAATGTATCACCCTCAATAGCTGAACAAAGACCATTAGGGCAAAAGAGAGTAGTAATGGGGATTTTTAGCCCATTGCTGAGCTGTCATCCCTTCAGGAAGGAGTTTGGGAAAGATTTAAAATCAGGATACTCTTGCCTTTGAGCTAGTAAAATGGGGTTATGTGGATTTTTTTAACATGATTAGGGTCTTTTAAAATTTCAACTTTATAGATGAAAGAAAGACTGTACTAAAGTCTTTCCTTTGAGTTCAGCTACATACTATCTTTTAGTGCCTCAAAGTTTGCAGCTTTCTGCAGTTCAATTCCAGGTATCTGCTTCCTATAAAAAGAAGTAGAATTACTTAAATGTTGACATTTTTGATGCCTCCTCTGCCAGCCCCTCCCCAAACTGATGTACCTGCTATAACTGGAAAGAAGCCTCTGCTGGCTCTCTGTGCCTTTGACCAAACACTAGAAAATAGACTGGTCTGAGAGGCCTTCCTGAAAACTGAAGCTGGTGAGATGTGAGGGTGCTTGGTTGTCATCCTCTGTGTCCACTGAGTGGTTTAGGTCAGGAGGCCACCAGTACCATAGTTAAGTGGGGGAGTTTCTCTTTGGATTTGAGCTTTGATACTTCTGTGGCACTTAGAGTTTCAATGTTATTTTCTGTTTCCTTCCTCTAGTGGTCCTGCTGCCCTGGCCTCTGAAGGAGACTATGCTGCTGGCCAAGGCTTCATCTTACTGGATGATGTGGCATGTGTGGGGACAGAGCTGTCTCTCCTGGACTGTCCCCACAGCAACTGGGGGCAGCATGACTGCTCCCATGCTGAGGATCTAGGAGTGCGCTGTTCCCCAGAAAGCAACACGGTCATGGATGGCAGCCTGGGTAACTCACCTTACTCTTGCCCTGAACAGTGGCAAAGTTTCACCTTCTGGTCTATTCCCTTGGAAGCTCTGGCAAATGTGGGAGTTTTTCCTGTGCTGTTTCAACAAGGGGTCTGCTTTTTGAGGAGGAATGAGCCCTGCCTGAATTAGGACAGAGCCACAAATCCGTGGCTCCACCAGACTTACTATCAGACCAGCAGATAAGTGGAAACTGGAGAGAGCTGTATTGGCAGTCTCTGAAACAAACCTCAGGGGCTGAGGGACAGTGGCTGCCTTAGCGTGCCATTGCTCACGGGAACGCTTTAACTAGACCTTTTAGGAAACATAGGTGTGGTTACATTAGTGCCACATCTTGCCAAGACAGGAGGATTTCAGATGCAAGGAGTTGCTGTTTGCACTCCCTTGTGTGGATGGCACACTTCTAATTAAAATTGTGAAAGTATTTCAAGTTAGTATAATTTCTTCATTTATATAATGCCTCATGCTCTCCCCTTTCCTTACTACAGGAGACTTTCCAGTTTGTCAGACATTTGTTATTGAAATAGCTGGCATCCAACATTTTTGTTTTTCCTGGATGTAGAACCCTTGTCTTGCTTAGAATCATGTTGTATTTTTACAATTCAATGGATTTTTTCCCAGGCATGTTTAAGCTTGTCTAACTCTTGGCTTAGGAGTTAATAACTTTCTTTCTGTTCTTATTCTCCTCTTTACTCAGCTTTCAGAGTATGATCCACTGATGATTTCCAGTATGTATTAAATAAATTAGTATGTATATAGTCTTCTGATTCAGCACAGAGGTAAAATGTCTTCATGTAGACACACTCCTTTCAAAAACTTTTTTTCTTCCCCCCCCCCCCTTTTTTTTTTTTTTTCCTTTTGTTTTAAGCTTACTGATATCTAGGATTCATCTTTTTCCATAGAACCCAAGTTTTGGACACCTGACCCCTCTGGTTATTTGGATTGCAGCAGCCCATGTGTTTCCTCCTTCAGGGCCTCCTGTGCGGCTGGTGGATGGAGAGAGCACCACGGAGGGCCGGGTTGAGGTATTGCTGAATGGGCAGTGGGGCAGTGTCTGTGACAATGACTGGACAGACAGAGATGCTGCAGTGGTTTGCAGGCAACTGGGATTCAGGTAAGAGCTGTGCTACAGGCATCTTACAGACAGAAACAGCTCTCGGGAGCACTTCTGGACTTGTTTCTGGGGGCTTAGTTTTAGTTTTGGCACAGCCAGATATGCTTGAGGGAGTAGGTTGCTCTTCTCATTCTACTACTGTCTGTGTGTGGAGTGACACATAAATATTATTCCACTTAAAATACACTGGTGCCTCAGGTTCACTTGGCTCCTGCTCACTGCAGATTAGACACCTTCTCTCTAATTGCAGTGGTACAGCAAAAGCCAGGGCAATGGCTTATTTTGGCGAAGGCCATGGGCCCATCCATCTGGACAACATAGAATGCAGTGGCATGGAGCACACCCTGGGGCAATGTGCCACACCTGACACCAGGATTCACAGCTGCTGGCACAGTGAGGATGCTGGGGTTATCTGTGACTACGTGGAAGAAAAGGTCCAAGATATCAGGAGAACAGGTGACATTCCCATTTCTTCTATGCAGGAATCTGGAGCTCTGGTTTAGAATCTCTGCATGCTTTTGTGGTTTTTCCCTGTCATTCTTGTCTTCGGCTGAAACTTCACCTACAAAATAAGCATGTCCTGTCCTGCACCTCCTATGTTTTTCTTGTTTTCAGTGTATCTTCTTAGAAGCACAGAGTGTTCCAAATTAGTCTGAGGAGCTCCACCCATGTCAGGCCTTTGAGACTGCAGAATTTCTCCACAGCCAAGTCACCATACACTTCCTTAGAATAGCACCCATAAGCAACCTTTGGGGTTTAGAGTACTGAGGAAGTATAAGTATAGGTTCCACTCTTGGTGTGAGACTATAGAGACTTCAGGTAGGCACCTCCAGTGAAATTAAGGAAACCTGGGGGATCAAATGTTCTATGAATTCCATAGGCACAACACAACACAGTCAATTACCTTGAGGATTAATGACCTCAGAGAAACTGAATGGTATTTGGCTCTGTGACAGCAATGCTGATACTGAAGGTCCCTACCCAACTGCTCTAACATTGCCATGCAGGTCCAGAGTCTGGTGTGTGTGGGATGCGCCTGCTTCATCGTCGCAAGAAAAGGATCATAGGTGGAAACAAGTCTCTGAGGTACTACGTTGTAATTGCTGAGTCAGACTGATTTCAGCTTTCCTTCAGGCTCTGGAAATAGCCTGGCAGATGCTGACTACATTAATGCATTTTCACTGGTGATTTTTGAACTTGGTTTGAACCAGTATCTAGGGAAGAATGCAAGCCAGCTGAGCTCAGATGAGACAGAGTGGATGGGAAAAGAGGAAAATGGCTCCCATGTGTGTGAGACCACTTATTCCCGTTTCTTCTTCAGAGGCAGCTGGCCATGGCAGGCCTCACTGCGGCTGAAGGGTTTTCGTCGAGATACTCGTCTGCTGTGCGGAGCAACACTGATCAGCAGCTGCTGGGTGGTGACTGCAGCCCACTGCTTCAAAAGGTGTGTTTGGGAGTGGGGAGCCCCGAGGGATACTCAATGATGGACAAGATAACCTCATACAAGCTTATCCTCCTAGACCAGTGGAAGTACATGAGCAAAGTTTCTAAAGTAAGACGTCCAGGTTGTGACGTGTATGATCTTGGAATGCTTATGGGGATAACTCTGAGGCTTTACAGCACAAAGGGAAACAGCATTTTGACATTTTAAGTGCTTTAAGGAACTGTGAACAGGTCGGTTCACAAGCCTGTTGCAACTATAATAATAATTTTTATAGGAACAAAAGCCCTGTGCCTGGTAGACAGTGATTTGGGACGCCAAATCTGCAACAGCTGGCATGATCATATCTGCTAAAGAGGTCCTGCAGTTCTGCAACTGGAATTGTTTTACCACTGTGGTGTGAGGAGGTGGTTCAGTCTCATAGCAACTGAGACTTGTGTAAGTCTGCTTTCCTCTAGCAGGAGTATTGAGATCTTGAGTCTGATTTTCTCCAGGTTTGGTGTTGATGTGCGGCGCTACCTCCTGCGTGTGGGCGATTACCACACAGGTGTGAAGGATGAGTTTGAGAGGGAGCTGCCTGTGGAGCGGATTGTCCTCCACAGGAACTACTGGGCTGGCAGCAATGACAATGACATAGCCCTGGTCCGGATGCGGGGCAGAGAAGGGCACTGTCTCTCCTTCAATCACCACGTTCTGCCCGTCTGCCTGCCTGACAGGAGAGAGAGGTCTGACATCAACAGGCAAGCCTGCATCATCTCTGGCTGGGGAGACACAGGTGAGTGGTGGGGCTTTGAGAGGCAAGAGAGGTGAGGAAATTTGCCTTCAGAAGCCTAAATGGGCCATTAATTTATGTCAATTGAAGGCTATGTTCTCACTGCTCCCCTTGTCTGTGCCAGTGCATGGTGCTAAGGAATAGGAAGATGAGTTGGGTTTTGTGGTATTGCATTTTCATCTGCTTTTGAGGCTTATTGAGTCTGCTCAATATTGGTGAAAGCTTTGGTTTCCATAGCATCCCTCTGAAGCTGTGGGAGAGACCAATGCTGCCATCTGGCCACAGTCCTCTCTTTCTTCCCATTTCTACACGTGTTTGCCCACAGTAGACCCCTAAGGGAGCAGCAGCCTGTGCAGAGCCGCTATACCAAGCCTGTGAGAGGCCCCCATGTTTCCATGACCTGCCTTCTTCATGGTACTGTCATAGTGAAGTGAGAGCTTAGAGGTAGAAGGAGCTCTCAGTGAGAAATCTCTCTCAGACTACCTTGCTTAATCTCCGTGTGTATTTCTGCAAGGACAGATGGACTCTGAGTCTGGTTTCTGCTCTGGGTTCAAGACAGCCTGGACCTGTCCTCTTTGAGCATATTGCTGTGAAGCTTCCTACATAAAAGGGAGCACGGAGGCCTTTCTGGGGCTGCTATGACTGGAGAAAAGCCATACATTTAGAAAGATTTCCTGCCAAAAGCCCCAGGAGCTCATCTGCTGATTTTGGACTTGCCTGTCCTCAGCTGTTTCCCTAGCTATTACCGCAGCTTTTTAACTGCAAGTACGTGTTTGCCTTTGGAGTCCAGTTGTGCCAGTTGCACGTGTCACTTCAGGATGTTTGGGGTGGATCAAGGAGCAACTTAGCAATGTAACTACCTTAAGCTGTATTGGAGCTTAGTGGCTAGAATCCTTCCCACGCACCAAACCCTGCTTTCTCAATGAGGAGCAGTTACCTACTACCTTGTGAACTTACATAAACCTTGGGCACAGCAAGGTCATACTCTAATATAGCACATTAGCCTTATGTTCTGAGCAACCCTGGGCTAATAAAGAGATGGGATCAAATAAACTCAAGTCTGGCCAAAGATGAAGGGAATTCCCTTTGAATAATATTTGAATGCCTCTGAAACATCTTCTAAAACTTTTCTGAGAATTGAGCACTTAACATATACTACTACATTTATTTTCTTGAGAAAACTCTGTCCTTGCTTTACTGAGGAGGAAATTGAGATTTGGAGAGGTGAGATAAATTGAACAAGGTTCAAGTTACTTGTTGACAGACTCAGGAGTAAGACTCATCCTTTGATCTAACCTTTTTCTACAACCCTCTTCCCCACATCTTTGATCTTAGAGCTCTTTTTTTGTGGTCTGGCTTGGCATCACTGTTTTCTGAAGTTCTCGTGGTTTCAGAGATGCTGAGCTCAGCCTACTTCTATGCTGCAGACTTGACAAGAAATGTGTAAGTGTCTGGTTGCACTGTTGCACCAGGTCACTACTGTTGCCTGTATGTGAATCAGTCTGGCTGGTCTGTTTTATTCCAGGGAAGTCCTATTCCAGAACCCTGCTGCAGGGGGTGGTGCCCCTTCTCCCACGGGAAGACTGTGAGGCTCGTTACGGGCGGAAGTTCACCAACCGCATGATTTGTGCTGGGAACCTCTCTGAAGATAAACGTGTGGACAGCTGCCAGGGTGACAGTGGAGGGCCACTCATGTGTCAGAGATCAAATGGACGCTGGATCATTTTGGGCATCACTTCCTGGGGGTATGGCTGTGGTCGGAAGGATTCGCCCGGTGTGTACACAAAGGTCAGCAAATTTGTACCCTGGATCAAGAAAGTGACCAAGCTAAAATGAAAATGACTGAGCTCTTGGAATTTCAGCACGTGGTCCTTTTGCCTTGCAGCAGCAGAAGGCTGTGGCTTCTGGTCTGTGACTGATGGAGATTTATTTTGACATTGGACATTGGCAAAAGATTTTAATGTAGAACTGGAAGGAAAACAGTTATGACTGATTCTTTAAAGTCTTTGGTTTCACTTTACTCTGTAATCTGTAAGCAGAGAAAGCAGGTGCACAGTGGTAACAATGATCAGTATATGTTGCTCTAAATATCCGAATCCTTTAATGCAATCACACTTATTCCTTTGCCCTGGCACACAGAAATGGTAGAAGTAGAGAGATACCTACTGCTGCAAATCTATTCATGGTTGTATGTTTGGACAGTTGAAACATGATACAAGGAGAGGTGAGATGCTTGGAAGATGGCATTAGGTGCTGGCATAGTGGAAATCTTCACTTTTTTTTTTTCATAACAGCTCTCTTCAGTTCCAGGAATGAGAAGATTTGACCTGAGTTGTGGAACAGGCCAACAATTGGGTTTTTTAGCTTCCCTGATATGTCTCTAGGGGAAATCTTTTCTCTTCTGAATAGTAGGTCTGCTCCCATAGGATCCTTTTCAAGTGTCTGCCTAGACTAAGAGATGCTTGTCCCTCCTGCTGTAATCCTTTGTCACATTTCCAGCTGCCAGATGCTGTGGTTTTATTGCTGCTTTTTTGCTATACTAGTTTGTGTGTGTGGTTGGGCTTTTTTTTACTTCCCCTAAATAGCATCTTCTAGAATCAGTTGTTGGTGTGAGAGGCAGTAGCTTTCTTGCCCTCATGATTATTATGAAGAACTTAAAAGACTGACCTCAAGTGGCTGAATAGACATGTCATTTTTCTTAAATCCAAATGTAATGTTAATCTCAAATATTCAGGCATTGAATCATGATTTAACAGCACTGTGGGGACTTCCTACTGGTCTCTTATTCATCATAGTTATTAGCTGCCCTTTGTTTGTGCTGCTAGTCTTTAGTATTTCTGTGTTCACAGTTTTCCATGAAACATGGAATTACTCCTGGCGTATAGATACACCTCAAGCAAATTACTCACTCCTTGTGAAAAACAGTAAGTGTGCTGCTAAGCAGCTTCCCACTTTGGTGAAGTGTGTCCTATTCTTGAGACCTCTGGGCCATGCTTCCTTTTTTCTCTTCTTTGCACTCTTTCTCTTTCCATTCCTCTCAGTGGGAGTAAACTGGATTAACTTGAGGGTATGCAAGCACTGTCATCAAGCTGTAGTTCTCAGCCTGAACAGATACAATGCTGAGAGAAAGCAGGGGTTATTGAATATTACAATTTCTTCCTTCTGTTTCAATCCAAACAAATGAACAGAATTCCTTCTTATGCCTTAAGCACTTTTTAAAGTTAATATATTATTCTTGAGTAGTAAAAAAATATAAGTAGACAGAAGGGCTAAGTGCCTTAATAGCTGTGCAGTGCAGCATCTTCTCACTGTGTACAGATAAAGCAGAGAGGAGACAGGTTTGAGCAGGAGGAGGAGTAAAAAGCTTTGATGTATAACCAAGGGCTTAAATGTGGAGGATTAATACAGAATGGGACACGTGGAGCTTGTGCCAGATGTGCATGTTTTGGGTAGGCAGTAACTGGGTCAGGCACTGACCTGCTGTCTGAAAGGTTTGCACTCAGGGCATTGAGGTGTTCAGTATCTAGATATTACCAATGCAAGAACAGAAGGCAGAGCACAGTCTCTGGATTAGCATTGTCAAATTACAGGGCATGTGGTGACAGAATCCTAGAAATTACCTTGGATTCAAGAAGTACTGATTGCCTAAAGCTTTAATTTGTCTTCTATAAATTAGCTTAATATAGAGGTGCTGACCTGACTAGGTGGCTGATTTTTGTGTGTGAAGGCTAAACTATATAGTTTCATTTACCCTATCCAGGTATTATAGGATAGTTGGACTACCAGTGTTGCAATGCACTGTTCTAAAATCCTGCTTGCAAACTTTATTTTAATGGAGAATTGTTAGAATCTTTAAAACATGCAATGTCAGGACCCCTGCAAACTGGCCTTTGAGACAAATCTGATCTGTTTGTGCCTCTTCTCGAGGTGCTGAATGTCTTGAGCACAGCTTTGTGCTGATAACCCTGTTTAAAATGCCAGACTTGTTCCCTTGGCAGCACTGTGCTTGGCTCCACTGGCCATGTTGTCCTATGGCTCCTGGCAGAGTCTCTAAAATGCAAGGTGCAGACTGCTCCTTATCTCCCAGGCATTAAAATGCCAAGAGGACTGAGGGCAATTATGTCACAGATCTCTCATCCTGTGGGGGATTAAATGCCAAGTTCTATACTGGCAGGAGCAGTACCTGTCTGGGAAACATGGAGAGATTTGACTTTTACCTTCAGCTTCCCCTGAGCCAGCATGCTACAGCAGCTCAAATGGAGTTTCTGTGCCTTGGGTGCTGTCACATCTCTAGTTTAACCTGGTTTGATCTTTCAGTTTATAGCCATAACCCCAACAGGGATAGAAACACCTGAAGGATGGCACTGTGAGGTTATTTACCTAAGCTTACTTAGCAAGTGGCCATTCAGGAGTTAGCATAAATTACCATGTAACACAAGTGAGATGTGGGCCTGGCATTGCCTTCTGAAATTCCCATGTTCTAGTTTAAAATATTTCTTTCTCCTAGATCTTGTCACTATGAAAGCTGTGAGAATCCTTGTAATTGCACCGTTTGAGTCCTGCATGAACCAGGAGGAGGGAAGTATCCAATCTCCTTTGCCTACTTTTATACCTTACTGGTGCTGTAGGTGAGCCTGTCAGTACTCTCCTACATTGACCTGGCCTGTTTCAGGACACAGCTGTTGCTCTTCACTGTTTAACCTGGCACTGTGGCCCAAACCAAACTCATGTGCTTTGCCACTGAGGCTAACTGGAACTGCTTGGTTGGATGAACAGCACTCAGTCACCCTAGGACTGTATTTGGAATGTTGGACAGCAGCAGATGTTTCAAAGGATAATAGTATGAGTTGTGCTGAACAAGTTTTAACAACCTTTCCTTCTGGGGAATTTTGTTCTTGACCCATTTAAATTAATTACTTGCATTACTATTATCTTATTATAATAGTAATGCAAGTAATATTATTATAATATTATCATTAAAAATTGAAGTACAAATACTCGATCCTCTAGGTGCTGTACAAACACTGTCATTCTTTTTTTTTTTCCCTAAAGTGTAAGATTTTATATTCCTAACTTTTAAAAACTATTTAATGTAACCAGCCTTCATCTTCCATATAAATGTTTAAATTTTTTGGTTTTAATCTAACTAAGCTTTCAATCCTAGTATTTTCTGGCAATTAAAACCATTATAATTTTATTCTCCATAGCACATAATTTCTTTTTATGGTTCCTGAATTAATTGCCTTTTGTTTTCATTAAGTACCATCTGTCCTTGTGTTCTCAGCCACGAGAGGAAATAAGGGGCCTGGCTTTATATTCTCTGTTATGCATTTTTCTAGAGATAGTTCCTTTTCTAAGGCTGTGGCTTCTCTGTCTCTCTTCAATCCAAACTGTCTAGGTGTCTGATAACATGCTGACTGTCTCTCTGTCTTCTCTTTCTGATGGATCTTTAAACTTTGGTAAACAACGGAATGCACTTTGCCAGGGGAGGCTGTATCCCCTGCTGATTATTTGAGTACAGTTTTCTATAGCAGGCAATTCTGTAAGTGATTTCAGTGCTGTGTCTGTATGCTGGAGCTAGTTTTAAACTTGCTAGTGTGGTCTTGGTGGCAGCCTTGCTTCAAGGGGATGAAAACCCACTGAGGTTAGCTCCCCATGTGTCTCAGGTAGGTGCAGCAGTCCCACCAAGCTCACAGAAATTGCTGTAGTTCTGTTTAGGGAGCTCTGGGCAGGGAGCACCTGGAGAGCTGTGTAGACCTTTCCCTGTGCTGACACACATGGAGGGCTGAGACAGTCCATCTTCACAGCAATAGTCCTTTGGATAAGGCTAATGCATGTGCACTGGTTCCAGGAGCTGAGAGCTCAGTCAGTGTTGCTGGTGGCTGCACTGTGCCACATGGATGCTCTGAGAGAACTTTCCATAGCAGAATTCTCACATATCATGGTTGTGTGAGAAAGGGACCATCACTGTGAGTGGCTAGGACCATTGGCAGGAGTAGAAACATGGCTATGGTAAGGATCTGAGGAGCAGCTCTTAGTGCTGCTCCTATCCCCCTTTGAGAGAATACTGCAGTCCTCCAAAGGCTGCCCCAGTGCTCCAAAGACTGCCTCAGTACTGGGGTCTTCCTGACCTGCAGTGCCTGCAGTGGTACTATGTCAAACCTGTTCACACTTTGGCTACCTGAAGCTGGATTAAAGATTTATCACTTTCTTGTGGCTGAACACTGTTCTGATGATTTCTATGAATTATGTTCTAAGCTATGATTAATCAGGCAGCTGTTTATTAACCTGGACATGATGTCAATTATCCTTGTAATCTCTGTAAGCCTGTAGCAGAAAATAACAGATCAGTTTCTCTAAGATATGACTGGAGGTATTGGTGAGGAACAAGAAAAGTGGGCATTTGCTATCTCAGGGGTAACAGAGGTACATCTGCCTTTTGTCTGTCTTCCTTTCTTTCTGAAGCCTGTATCCTGAAGTCTTTTCACCCCAGAAGAGCTGCAGTGATTCATCAACCACTTGAAGAGAGATTTTTATGTGTATATTTGGCAATCAGATGAAAACTTCAGAGAGATGAAACTACACTGTGGTATTTAACTATTTTGATAGACTCACTGGGAGTTTCTTACAGTTAGAGAGAACAGAATCACCTCTGCTGGTAACCAAGTTGGGACTACTCCTTGTAGAACAAGGCAACTTGACCTGGACTAATGCACAGCTCCTGGGTTACATTTTGCCTTCTTTGGAAAATTATTTAACTTGCCACATCAGAAACTTGTTTGTGTAGTAGCCCACTCAAGTCCTATTAAAATCCTTTTCTACTAAGGGCTGAGTACCTCTGAAATCAGTCAAGTGCCAAAGCTGTTATGTCCTCTGGATCACCACCAATGGCTCACAAGGTATGCTAATAAATGGATTATACTGTGACTGTGTGGGGCTCTGTCTTATATTTAATAAAGGAATCTGTTCCAAGGGCAGATTTTAGGGTTTGTTTTTCAGCACTGAGTTAATAAAATTTTTCTATTATTATTTTTTTAGAAGCTTCAACATGCTAAAGCATGTCACAAAGTCAGCATCATGTTAGCTGCCCTTACAATGAAAGGCAACAATTCTTCAAATGTCACATTTTTTGCCATTTGGAACAGGTAAAGAGCAGGTCAGCTCATTACATTTAAAAAGTTAACAGGCTTTAATACATCAGCTTTCTAATTTGTTGTTAAAGGTGATCTTCCTATATAGACTTGTTCTGCATGACTTAGTCTCCTTTTAGTCTACAATTCATGTGTCATCACTCTTAAGAGTCAAAGCCAGCCTCTGGAAAAGTGGAAATGGGATAAGGAAAATTCAGTTTGAGTGAGCCATTTGTTCAAGAACACTGTTATACTCTACCCATGCTGCCTCATTGCTGAAACCTGAATTTCTGTTAAAAAGTCTGTTTTGAAACATGGTTCAGCTCCTCGCAAGGTATGCAATGACTTTTCCAAGTCATTAGGGTTAGACTGAAGCTCGGTGTAGCTGATGCCTTCAGACTCCAAAAATTATAGTGTGTAAGTTTTTGAATGTACTGACTCCAGCCTGCTGTTGGAAACAAACATTGACTCACTGAAGAAAGAACTGAAAGAACTGCTTGTAGTTAATTAACACTTTCCTCACGTCATGCCTGCTTTTGGGGTTTTCTACACCTACCTACATTTCCCTTCTTGCTTGAGCAAAACTGGGAAGCGGAGTTCAGGCATTTTAGCTGGTCTTCCATGGGTCAGCAGGCACAGCTTCAAAACATCAGTCCTGCAGGGCTCTTCTGTAGTCACTGCCTGGAAAAGAAACAATGTTGAAGCTGTGATTAAGGTTACAAGTCTGTCAAATATCATTTTGTATTACAGCACTTGACTACTGCCTTCCTGTGGTGAAAAGGCTGGGGAGAGGTGTATGGCAGGAGCTTACTTGTTTCAGATGGGCTACTCGTAAGACACCTTTGGATTTTGAAACTGAAATATGAATGAGGAGAAAACTGAGCTTTACTCCATGTGGTTTTCTAACTAGGATTGCTACCATATTCATTGGGAGAGAGGAAGAAGGGCATTCAGGTATCACCACTGACAAAATTCTTACTTGGGTACAATTTCCTCTTACTAGTGGAGGGAGACAGGATACTGCTCAAATTGCCTTGGTTTTCTGGGCTGAGTCCTGTGCTGCTCTTGAACTGGTCTGTTTACAATGGGTTCCTGGCATTGGTAGGAGGTTTCTATGGAATTCTGTTTATGTGTAAAAGTGAAAAGAGGAAGCAGAGCCAGCAAAATATGGATGGTCCAGCTGGAGTAATTTATATTTAGAGAAACCTTTGGATTTAAGATGTGCTGATGGAGAACAGGTGTAGGACAGACAAATTCCTCAAGTCCACCACTTGATCTTCTCCTCCCTGCTTTTCAAATCCCACACATCCTGCCAGAAATAAAAGGCACTGTTCTCTTTGCAGATTTTCAAAACTAGCCTGTCACCTGAAAGGAAGAACCAACTTCTTTGGATCAGCTTTACAATGAGAAGCTGTGAAGCTGTGTCACTCTGTCAGCTAAGCAAAAGGCCTTGTCTCTCCTATCCCTTTATATTTGCAGTGGCTTTCATGCATGCATCAGGGCAGCTAAGGGCTGAACTAGGAACAGGGGGAACTCAGTGCTGGGCTGATATTCAGTTGCTGCCCAACAGAAGAAACAAACTGGCAGGAATTAAAATTTCAGCAAGTTAATCATGTTGGGAAGCATTTGCTGAGGATGTTTTGGTTCCCAGCCCCTGGCAGCCCTGGGGCTCAGGAGCCAGCAGCAGGTACTGCCAAGGGTACTGCAGCAGCATGCTCTCCTGTCTGTCCACCTGCCAGCCTGCACGGCGCCCTCCTCACTGCACAGACCAGGGATCTACTGTGGCAATGTGAGTGGCCAACTCAGCTGAAACCACTGCAAAAGTTTATACTCTTCTGTCACTTTCATCTTGGAAACAGGACAGAACCACTTCAAACAACAATGAAACCCTTTTCTTTTCAATTTAACTAATCTTCTCTGTGTAAACCAGAGCTGTATGAAAAGAACATGTACTTCTAAAGGTTAGTTCCTTGCTTTTTCCCCCTTCTCGCTCGCATGTACAAGCTTGCTGCAGGTAAAGTAGGATTATAACCTCTGATTGTGGGATTCTAGAACCAGTAACCAAACATACCAGAGGAAAGCTCCTTTGCATCAGGTTTACTATTTTGTTATCTCTTGCAAGACTAAGAAGCAGATTCTGTTATTCTGCACAATTATACTGAAGTCTCAACAGAAAGCCTTTTAACTTCCCACATGCTTAAGCCACAGCTAGGTTGATTAAGACTTGAAAAATCTTTATTTTCCTGCAAGGCTTGTCTTCAAGTTACATGGGTTTAACAATTTGGTTAAACTGATGCAACTTTGTGGTTGAAACTTAGGGATGATGCACTGTTTGAATCAGATGCCTCTGTTTAGATGAGTCAGGGGTAACCACACACAAGATTCCTGAAGAAATAAGCAGAGCGTGCCACTACTCACTAAATTCCTACTACTATCATATTTAACCATCCTAAATAAATACAGTTTGCTAAATTTAACACTAAAGGTGATGACAGAATGACATAAATTTAGTTACCTTCCCCCAAGAAAATATGTGAAATAATTATACTGGGGAATGCATTAAAGTTTTGGATAGGAAGTTTTATAGGATCATGTCACAGCATTTTGCAGGAACACGGCTGAAAATGAAGATCTGACTAAAAAAGCTGGTAGCCTTTGAGGCAGTGCACAAAACAACCACTGTCCTAAGGGTCGATCACCTGCCTAGAGAAGAGAGATGAAAATAGAAGCAGCGGACTTAATCTGAGAATCTCTAAGTGATAAAGAAGGAGCCTGTTGAAAAAACCACTTAGCCAAGGTGTGCTTGCACATGTTGCAGAGCAGTGTAAGTTTGCCTTGGCATGAACAAACGGGCTTCCTACATTCCCTAACAGTTATCCTTCACTGACCAGCTGCCTGTACCCTCAAAAACAAATACAAAAACCTGTCTTCTGCAGCAAAGGTGTGTTCCTGCAGCACTTGTTATTTTTAATTACCAATTTTGATTTCTAAAATTGTAGGTTGTTAGAGAAGGAGTGTCACATTTATCGATTTTCCTTGATTATTTTTTGGTGAACTGAAAATAAGCCAAGAAACTATGTTTTGCCTGCATCAAAAGTCTTCTTGGAGTACTTAGGATGCTTTCAATGGTATAACATTGCTAGTTAGGGTAATACACTCTCTAGGCAAACTGAGTTATCTATTGCTGAGTTTCCATAAAGGATGTATCTAACCTGCTCTCTGGACAAAGGAGAGAGCTATTATACTGCTTTCACAATCTTTTCACAATGGCTAAGGAAATGTCCAAATGTGATACTGACTGAGAAAAAAGAGGACTTGCAGTGTAGCAGTTGTTTCCTTTCCCCTCTGCAAAATGGAGAACATTTCAGTTCCCTTTAGCTTGGTGCTTTTATCTGTGAATGTATAGTGCATATTAGACCCTGCCAGACTGTCAGCTTTGGTAATGGCAGAAGAAGTGTGAAAACAAAAACAAATGCTCCTGCAGGTTAGTGTGAAAGGAAGAGGAAAATATATTTGTATCCTGTGAAATACAAGATGCCAGACAACATATGCTCAGTAATCCTTGTAGGCAATATTATCTGTAAATGCCATCTTCTCTTTCTGAAGAGTAGCAGTTATGTTCCTACA